TAATGGGATGTTTATATATTAGTTGCAAAACGTTAGTAATTATAGTGGTATGAGTGTGGACAATAACGGTGGTTAGTCCTGTTTTAAAGATAATGTGATAAGTTGGAGGCAGTCGCCCGGCGTAGGCGTGCGAGGCCGGCCACCACAGTTTTTAATCTTACTCTATTAGGTTCTTAAGTTTAACATTGCTTCTACGAGTTTTTACCGTAATACTAAGCGGATTTGTCTTTTTTTATTGGGTATATAGCGGATTTAACGTATTTTGAGCCATGATTTAGTGTGCATAGTATACTAATATTTTTGCTACTCGCCCGTTCGCTCTGTCCAATATAGGAATGGCATCATGAATTTTATACGTGAGGACCAAATCTGGTTTTTGTATTTTATTGTGAGTTGAAAATGTAATGGAAATACAGGATTTATTTTGCCAGTTCCTCTTAAATGTAAGTGAGAATTTCTAAAATATTTTTATAGGCGTAAGTGTTGGTAAATTAATTTTTACATTAGGTACTGTGTAAGTGTACACAAGTATTAAACTCAGCTCATTGAGTGCGGGAATTATATGATTTGTTTTCTCAGTTTTTCGTCTATCGGAATTACCTACATAGTACGGAATTGATGCGCCACTCAGTGGTTTTGTTTTAGGGCATACGTAATAACGAATAATTAGTTTTAATTGTGGTGCTAAACTACATTACGATGTCGACACCAATAATGTATTTTGTATGTTTATCTTTTAAGTTGTAAGTGATATTTAAGTGACAGTTATTACAATTCAGTTATACAATGTAACTTGGCAAATGTATTGGGACATATAAAATGATTTTATGTTTTGGTTTTGGGTAATGTTATGTATTGAAATCTCACTACATTTAGTCCACTTGTTATTGTCAGTGATTTCTGTGTACATGTAATGTACTGTTTTTACACGTCAATGCACGTTTGCCATAGCTATTAAATGATTAACAGATTGTCTTTCAACGTTGTTTTAAGTGTAAGCTCAGATAGCGTGTACGTTCTTGTATCCATTGTGAACGCTAATTAATTCAAAATGTATACTATAAAAGTATAGCTTATTTTGTTATATTCCTAGCATTTTCATGTTTAATCTACAGTGACACTGCCACTAAAATGCCCATTATTAACTTGTATTTAATGCAGCATTCTGTTTTATATTACCATTGTTTCTTGTTATAATGTTTAGTTGTTTTAGCAAAGCTTCGTAGGCGCAAACAACTGTTTATGAACTTAAATGTTTGAAATGAATAATTCGCTAGTCCTATCTCATATATAACTTTGGATCTGTCCGTTTAAATGAAATATTTAGGTGTTTTTTAAGATACTTAATGAATAATACAAATTATACTCTCTGTGGTGGATATCGAATTTTATGAGCTTATTAAAACTTAATTCCGTGGTATCGGTATTGCGAAAATAATATATCGTGCTGTGCATATTGTTTGATGTTGCACATCTCAAGTTTCTAGTCTTAAGTGTGTAGATGTCGCTACAGTCTATGTGGTTCAATGTTTATTAGTATCAAATACTTATAAAGCCCAGTCTTATGTAAAATTACTTTCTGAACATATCAACTTGACTGTCTTCATATATATTTAGAGACAGTCAAAATTTGATAGTATCCAAATGTCACGGTATAACAACGGTTTAATAATTTATCATAATATATTATAGAAAAATGTTACATAAGGTTAGGGTGATAATAGCTGTATTTAATATTTATGTCCAAAGATGTTAAAGTTCTATTGTTAATATAGTTAATCGGGTCTTAACACGTGTAATTTTATAGAGCGGTCCGCCCCGGCTTCGCACGGGTGGATATTTATTAGTAGTACTATATATATTACTTAGTAGTACTATATATATTACTACAAAAAATATTTTTTGTATTAATATACATAGTTTTTGTTGGGATAATGTAGCATTCTAACAGTAGAAGAATTATTGAAATCGGTCATGTAATTTTTAGTTTAATTGTTACAAACATATAAAAATACTCTTTATAATAAGTATAGGCGTCGCCATTTAGGTGTCCTCACTATCGAGAGAGAGGTAAATATCATATTTACCATAAAATTATCCATGTTACAACCCTATTAACTATATTAATGTGTTGTAAACGCGAAATTTTAAAAATAACTGTTAAAGTTCTACTCTGCTAATCTATATATTTGTATTTTTATAAAGGAGAACACAGTTTTGTATAGGTTTACGCAGCTACCGTGTTTTATCGCGATTGGTGGAGTGGAAGAGAGATGTGCAATATCGATGTAAAGGGTACAACACTAGAAAGATTACAAAAAAAAAAAGTTTGTAAACAAAGCTAAATAGTATTTCATAAGATGCCAAGTTAGCTGTCGCATTGGACCAAGGAATAATGTATAATTATAAGTGTAGCTCACTTCACATGCTGATGGTATCTATAGCGTTTTACATAGAAAACATTGGGTGTTTGACTGTTTCGTGTTTTTAAATTCACAATTACGTACATTAAAATAAGAAATACGAATTAATTTCAATGAATATAAAAATGTCAACTTCTTGATATTCTTACACATTCTGTCAACGATGATTCCTATATCTATAGACTTGTAATAAGTCGTTTGGATGGGTACCTTAGCCGTACCCTATTACAGCCGCGAAGGAGCTTACTTTGAAATGTGTTTCGGTTTAAAGAAGTGAAAAGAAGCATTACGTCATCAAGTCATGAAGCATGACAATTTTGTATTTTGTCAATTTTGACATTAAAAATATATCACCTAGCAATTTATAAAAAAAAATCAGTCAAACACCCAATTAAAATATATTAATAAATATTTTAACATGTCTTCGGTCTCTTCATGTTAGATCCATGTATACAAGTATCTTTGTGATTGATGTTTAATAGTTATAACACAGAGTGTGTGACATGCGTCGTGACAGACTGATTTAGAGCAGGTATATTGGCTATTGGGTTGAGATCACGTGGTCACAATATCCACTCCACTCTGTGCAGTATTACAGTGGGGGTGGTTGTATGCGGATGTTTGGGGGATATTAAAAAAAACTGTATTTGCAAAATTCTCAAATATATAAGCATATATTTTGTTATATATATCTTTATTGCACATTGAAATACAGTAGTAAATTTGATTATATACAAAGTGAGCAATGGTGGACTTATCTCTAAAAGAGATTTCTACCAGTCAACCTAAACAGCGTGGCATAGCTAGTAGTGAGTGGGTAACATTAGTGCAAAAAAATAATCATTTAAAATTCAACAAATTATATAACTATTAAAGATGTTAAAGAAATTTGTAATGTAATTTTATCTTTCACTTATTGAATATTTTATATAGGCACATCTCTGGATGGTATAAAATATTTCCATTTCATATTAATAATTTTAATGAAATAAACATACATCTTGTATAAGAATTAATTTTGAATGTTACAGAAAAAAAAACCTAACAAACATCACAAATACTGTCTACAGTTTTGTGATGTTTGTTAGGTTTTTATAATGACATTTAGCAAATAATCTAATATTTATTAGAATGCGAGACATTGCTGTTTTAAGTGAATTTTCCGGTGATATTAAAAGTAACTAATGTGACATTAGGTTTTTAGTTGACGTCTAAATCTGGCAACGTTGCATTACCAGTCATTAGAACAACGGTTTATAGCTTTTCTGTTTTATCTTTTATGGTTATATAACAATAAGTTGATTTTGATTTTAATAAGTACTTTTTATAAATATAATTTTTTTTTGTTTAATCAGAAATATTGCATGACTCGTAATTTTTTTTAACCATAGAAATACATCGTTGGATGTTACATACGAATTTAATTAAATTATTTATAACAAAATTATTATTTTTGTAAATTGACATATAGTGCAAACGTTGCTGGCTTTTTACGCGTGCTCATGACGAGTATTGGAAATGTAATATCACCATAGTGTTATTTATACAATTGCTGGAAATATAATAATTATAACTGTTATACTTCTTTTAACGGAAAATATCAGTTGGACTGTAAACGGGTAGTGTGAACGAGTAGGGGACTCCAAACATCCGCAAACAACTGTCTTAGCTAGATAATAAAGTAGTTAATACAATCCATTAGGCGTATCGGTGTTATATTTCTAGTTCACAATTTATAAAACATAGTGTACGCCAACTGTCTTGTTCAAATGTTGTGAAATATAAGTGTTAAATGTTGTCCTCCTATCAGACCGTATAGGGTATATTGTTTATCTGAACATTCGGTAGTTATGCTAGATGCAGTCTTGATTTTTTCTTACTAATATTTTGTTACTGTTTTGGCACTGTATTAATTACCTTCTGACAAAAAATATATAATGAATAAAATGTTTTTGAAGTTTTATTGATCCCTTATCGATGATATTTTCTTGTAGTTTGCACAGGTACTGTTTCTTTCGGATTGGCATTTTGGATGTGACTCTCTGTTCTTGCAATAACAACAATCACAATGTGATTGTCGGGAATAATTCTGTGTTTTTTTGCTAGATGGCGCTAATTGTACTTTTGTTTAATACAGTTTCCTAGATTCAGCGGTGTTTCATTTTATAATAAGAAAAATCAGTAATTTAGGTATTCATAGTGGTCCTTCGAGAAGGATGTTCTTATGTGATTAATTAAAAAATCTCCTATACTCAAGCAAGTGTCAGTCATAATTAGTGTCAAAGAAAAAAAAACAATATCGAACTAAGTTGACATGCGTTTTTCCTAACCTAAAAAACTATAGTGAAAAAAGATTACGAAAAATAAACAATTTGGACATTGAACATTTCTGTGATTTAATAGTGTATTCATATTAAAACATTTAAAACCGTTTACTATAAAAACAAATTACAATTTAGTGTAACTGGGACTTGTGAACAATTTGTGTTGTTAATATCGAACTTAGTAAATTTATCGAAAACTTTAACTTGTGTACTTAGTGATACTTATCATTTCCGTCTCATTTATTTGATAACAATGGAGAAAATATTACAATTACTTAACGTACAAGAAGAAAGATGTGAACAAATTTCTAAGGGACAACGAAATTATCACAAAAGTCCAAAACAAAGAATTACATTGAGCTACTTAGAAACGCGTTTGGAAAGTTTAGACAAGACATGGCAATCATTTAAAACCGATCATGATCAACTAATTGCAGAAATTAAAAGGGAAAAACGTAAAGAAATTGAATACTTTAAGAATGATATTTACAACCAATGTGAAGAAATATATATCGAATACAAGGGAGATTTACGAAATGAAATACAAAAATTGTCACCTAAGAATGAAAAACAACCAGCAGAAAAACAACTTAAAACTACCGAAATTACCTTACCGACTATCAAAATTCCTATATTTTCAAGCAAATACACGGATTGGCAATCCTTCCATGATTTATTCAATACATTAATCCATTCAAATAAGAACCTAGACAATGTTCAAAAACTTCATTATCTCAAAACATCTGTGACGGGTGAAGCTGAACAGTTACTTAGAAGTATACCTATAACAAGTCAAAACTATGAACAAGCTTGGACTACATTGAAAAATAGATATAATAACAAGAAGTATTTATCAAATTGTATTTTCAAGAAACTCTTTAATTTAAAAAATATATCATTTGAATCTGCATTTAATATAAAACAACTGATTGATACAACCATTGAATGTTTAAACTCATTGAAACATCTCGGTTTGCCTACCGAGTCATGGGATAGCATTATGGTCTATATGACAGTCACTAAATTAGATCCTGAAAGTCGTCGGCTATGGGAGCAACATACTTCACCAGACCAAGAGTTTACAACATTTAACCAATTGCAATTATTTCTTGAAACAAGATTCAGATCATTAGAAATGTTAGAACAATCAAATAAAATATTGAAACCAAGGACATTTTATTCAACAATAGATAACAAAACAATAATTTGTTCATATTGTAAAGGTGATCACTACATATATATGTGTAAACAGTTTGCAAAATTATGTTACAAAGAGAGAACAGACTTTGTACAAACTAACAAACTTTGCTTCAATTGTTTGATTCCAAATCATTCTGTAAATAAATGTTTACGGAAAACATCATGTCGTGTTTGCCAGAAGAAACATCATTCATTGTTACACCCTGAAAGAAAGGAACCTGTAAGAGGTGAAAGTCATGAAGATCAGACAAACATAGTGTCACATTTTGTAAAACAACCTGGTCAAATCTTATTAGCAACTGCACTGGTGGATGTGACTTCAAGTCATAGTAATATACACACCTACCGTGCTCTCATTGATCAAGGCTCTCAAGCCACGTTTGTGTCAGAAGATCTTGTTCAGACCTTGGGTTTGAAAAGAGAGAAAACCAGCGGCGTGGTATCAGGATTGAGTGGAGGAATAAAATTACAAACCAAATATACAGTACAGCTTGAACTTCGATCAAGACTGAAAACAAACTTCACTATCCTTATTAGAGCGTATGTATTACGCAATATCACAAACTACTTACCTACACAGCAAGTTACGATGTCTAGTTGGCCTGCCCTTGAAAACATAACACTAGCAGATCCAGGGTTTAATATTCCGAACAAAATACACCTACTGCTAGGAGCTGAAGTCTATAGCAAAATCATAGATGTCGGATTGCTGAAGAGTCCATCTGGGTCCATTATAGCACAATCTACACATCTGGGCTGGATTCTATCTGGTGATACTAGCAACACACAACCTGAAACACAAAAACAATTAACTAATTTACATGTATGTATATGTGATAATGATATACTGAAAAAATTTTGGGAGATTGAAAACGAAGTACTTACCTCTGAAAGAAAAATTACCCAAGAAGAAAAGAAATGTGAGGAGTTATACAAACAAACTACAATAAGAACGGAATCTGGTAGATATAAGGTGCATTTACCTTTTAGAGAAGATGTAGAGCCAGCAGAAAAGTGTGGTAAAACTAAAGAAATAGCTACTTCTAGATTTTTACAACTGGAAAGACGATTCAAATACAACAATAAATTAAAACAAGAATATAGTACTGTGATCAATGAGTATCTCAAACTAGGACATATGATAGAAGCTTCCGAAGATATTGATGATGCAATTTACCTACCGCATCACGCTGTACTTAGAGAAGACAAAGATACTACAAAACTGCGTGTCGTCTTCGACGCGTCGGCTAAGGGATCCAAGGGATACTCACTTAATGATACCATGATGACTGGTCCTGTAATTCAAAGAGACTTACGAACACTATTAATGGAGTGGAGAACATTTAAAATAGTACTCATAAGTGATATTGTGAAGATGTACCGTCAAGTGCTGGTGACAGACAAACATACAGATTATCAAAGAATATTGTGGCGGGAAAGCCCTCATAAAGATATAGCCTCATACAAACTACTTACTGTAACCTTTGGTACAGCTGCAGCACCATTTTTGGCAGTCCGTACTCTCATACAAATAGCAGAAGATGAAGGACATCGATTTCCTTTAGCCGCTGAAATTGTAAAAAAATCATTTTATATGGATGACCTGATGAGTGGAGCTAATGATATACATCAAGCGATGGAAATTTATAGACAACTGGATGAGTTGCTGAAATGTGCTGGATTTGAATTACAAAAGTGGTCCAGTAACTCTGACAAATTATTAGATAAAATCATACAAAATAAAGAAAGAAATATAAAACCATTGGAGATTAAATTTGATAAAATTATTAAAATACTGGGACTTTCTTGGGACAGATTAGATGACAAATTCAAAGTTTACATTAACTTACCTCATGTACCAGATACAATAACAAAACGAAGCATTCTGTCTGAGGTGGCACGCCTATTTGATCCCTTCGGGTGGCTATCTCCAATTATAGTAAAGGTTAAGATATTAATTCAAAAATTATGGCTCTGTACATGTGGGTGGGATGAAGATATACCAACAAACCTGAAAGAAGAATGGTTATGTTTCAGAAAACAACTCCCAGAATTAGAAGTGATACACATAGAAAGATGGATTCATACTTACCAAGAAAATGAAAGAGTTGAACTACATGGATTTGCAGATGCTTCCACAGTTGCATATGCAGCTGTGGTCTATGTAAGGGTAGTTAGCAGAGATAATATTTTTGTAACTATACTAGAAAGTAAAACTAAAGTGGCACCACTAAAACAGATTTCCATTGCTCGTCTGGAGTTGTGTGCAGCCGTTCTACTTTCAAAACTACTGGCAGAAGCCGCAAATACTTTAAAAATATCCAGTAGTAACATATTTGCTTATACAGACTCGATGGTAGTATTAGCTTGGATTGCATCTCAGCCAACAAAGTGGCAAACATTTGTAGGTAATAGGGTTACAGAAATTCAAACCAGATTAAACAATAAATGTTGGAGTCACGTAAATTCTATGGAGAACCCTGCTGATATCGCGTCACGTGGTGTCAATCCATCTGAATTAAAAGAAAAACAAACCTGGTGGAAGGGTCCCACTTGGTTAAGCCAAGAAATTTCACAGAAGTCAATGACAACAATACCTGAAACAAAGTTAGAAGAAAGAAAACAACATACAAAGGTTTTCATATGTGAAAAAGATGAACCGATCTGGAACAGATTTTCAACACTTACCAGAATGATTCGGGTACTCAGCTATTGTCGTCGTTTACTGCACCTGAAAACAAAAAAAGATATTAGAATGAAATTAAACACTTATTTAACTAGTGAAGAGTTAAGAATAACTTTAGATACATTAATAAAAATGGTACAACAAGAAGAATTTTTAGAAGAAATTAATGATTTAAAACAAAATAGAAAAATAAAAAAACGAAGTAAACTCTATTTCTTATCACCTTACCTTGATACTGATGGTCTTCTACGAGTAGGTGGAAGAATACAAGCTTCTCAGTTATCACAACAACACAAACATCCAATTATTATACCCAATAATACTCACCTTACAATTTTAATTATACGAGATGCTCACTTAAAATTATTACATGGTGGTGTTGCCCTTACCATAAATTATTTGAGAAGTCGCTACTGGATTATTAGTTTAAAACAATTAGTAAAAAAATGTTACCGAGAATGCACAGTTTGTTTAAGATATAGAGGCAAGACAATACAACCTAAGATGGGTCAATTACCTGCCGTTCGCGTTCAACCAGGACGCGCCTTTAAGACCAGCGGAGTAGATTTTGCTGGACCAATACAAATGAGAGCATCCAAGGGTAGAGGCCAAAAGGCTTACAAGGGATATTTGTGTCTCTTTATTTGCATGAAAACAAAAGCAGTCCACATTGAAGCTGTAAGTGACCTTACTTCACAGGGTTTTATCGCTGCCTTTAGAAGATTTGTGTCACGTCGAGGTCACTGTTCCGATTTATACAGTGACAATGGCTTGAATTTCGTTGGAGCTGCAAGAGAACTTACACAGATGTTGAACCAAGCCATGATTGGCGTATTAAAAGAGGTTGCCGAATTACTCAGTAATGATGGCACTACGTGGCATTTTATACCCCCGAGAGCACCAAATTTCGGTGGGCTTTGGGAAGCAGGAATTAAAATACTTAAGACAAATATTATTAAAATAATCGGCGATTCAAAACTGACCTTCGAGGAAATGACAACCTTGTTACATCAAATCGAAGCTTGTCTCAATTCGCGACCTATTTGTTTGCTCAATGATTATCCTGATGATCTTGCACCACTTACACCTGGACATTTTCTTGTTGGTGAACCATTAATTAGCATACCTGAGAAGAATGATGAGGATGAAAAATGTATTAGTCCTTTGAATAGATGGAGATTAACACAAAGATTAATGTTACAATTCTGGCGCAGATGGTCCAGAGAATATTTACACACCATGCAACAACGTCATAAATGGCAAAATTCGAACCAAATTCCGGAGATAGATGATGTCGTCATTATAAAGGATGACTTGCCCCCAACTAAGTGGCTACTGGGGCGTATATTACACAAGCACACTGGTCCAGATGGACATGTGAGAGTTGTGACACTCAAATGTAAAAATTCAACGCTAAAACGCCCTATTTCAAAACTTATTCCGTTGCCAAAATTCCAATAAATAACTCTGCTATGGTGGGCGGCCCACATATGAAGAACAGAGTTCTTGGTGGGCGGAATGTCGGGAATAATTCTGTGTTTTTTCGCTAGATGGCGCTAATTGTACTTTTGTTTAATACAGTTTCCTAGATTCAGCGGTGTTTCATTTTATAATAAGAAAAATCAGTAATTTAGGTATTCAGTGATAATGATGTGTACTTATAATTGCTCTTATGGCAAATGTTTTCACACAACGCCATCTAGTCCCGAGCTTGTGCAATAAGTACTAGGCAACTGATATAAATAAACATACATTTTTTTGTAAATACATACACAATATACATAGAAAACATCCTGAACGATACAATAATCATATATCATGAATACGTTTGTACCTTCGAAGGGATCGAACCCGCGACCATTGGAAGGCGGTGTGTTAACCCGCTAGACAACTGATGTCTTCTTGACTTTCAATTTTACAAGAAAATATTCTGGAAGTGACCTATAGGTATACTGTCGAGTATTCGTCTTTATGTCTATGGGTATAGCTAGCAGTTCAATTATATCAGATGTCAAGATTCAAAGGCAAATAGAAACAAGAAATAATTTATTAATAACACCTACATTCTATATATACAAGAACTATTTAACACTATTGTTATTGGTCATATTTCATGACCACTTTTCCCAGTTTTCCCTTGGGAACATCTATTGACTGTAATGTTTCTGTTATAATTCCCGTAGCAACGGTCACATTGTTTTCTCTGACAGTGAATGGCTGGCCTTGAGTCATGACCATACCTTCAAGTAACGTTAGATACACCTCGCCGTGATCACCCGGCATCATCATATGCATGCTGGGATCTGTAAGTAAATAGTAGCATTATCAACCAATTTCAAAAAACGCTGGCGCGTCATTTGTGCGTGATACTAATGAGGTCAGGTCATATAACACATCGCGACAAATTCATTAAGAATTTATCACGATGGTTTCAAGGGGGAACCACGTGGAAGACAACCTGACACAGTATATTGCTAGCTGGGTTCATGGTTGTGGATTAATGGTAGCATAGCATAGTTTGACATGTAGCACTACGACCTGTGGAGGTTTATTTTGCTAGCACTTTTTTTCAGTGTTCATTACTTAGATAAGAATGATACTCTACGAAGCTAACCATCGCTTATAACAATATCATTCATGTCCCTGAAGGGACTATATCTGTTATGCGTTGCACTTGATTAGAACCATATTATATATTACCTTGTAGTATCATTGCCATATCTTTGTATACTCTTGAATTTATTTAAAGGTAATTCCAGTATATCCTTGGGTATTACGTTGTAATTTTTTATACCCATTCCTATAAAAGATCCATTACGAGTATATACCATTGTTTGATTAATATTACGCATACAGTCCATCCTTCTATCGTCTACCAATTTGTACTCACCTAAATCGATTCTGCAGGCAATGTTCCATGTGCCACTGAACATTTGTTGTGAATACTTTGAAAATACCGGCTTTTTACGTCCACCCTCATTCCTAGTCAGGAAGTAAATATTGGCTTTATAATGGTTGCTCAAACTGAAACTTTTCGCAGCACATAGCAGCATCCCAGTTTCCACGGACCTTATTTTCATACCTCTTAGTAATACACCTACATTATCACCTGCTACGGCCTGAAATTCGTATTTATAGGAGATAGATAAAAACTATTTAAGTAAACTTTTTGTTAATAACTGTATCTTTTTATGTAATATATAGCCATTACACGGACGGCTTTGAATGAATTATTTATTTGCAGGCAAACACTGTAAATAGTTAGTACATTGTTTCACAAAAAGGACAATAATGATGCGTCAGAATCTGGCATGCAAAACTTTTAAATAAAAAATAGGTAATAGGTGATTATATAAAATAGTAATAACTACAGTAATAGTAAAAAAAAACACCTAGATCGATACAAACAATACTCATGAATAACCGCGACCTTCGGAAGTAAAGAGCTAAACTGCTAGCATATCATCTTACTTCCGCTACTAACTACCGAGACTATCTATGGTTGTAATAGCATTAAGTTGATTTCTTAAAAAAAATAGATAAATATAATAGTTACCTCAGACACACTTTTTTTAAATATCTGAATATCAGACAATGTAGTTTTAATATTGTAGCCAAAACCCATTAAATCTGATTCGTCATTTTTCTTCATAATACCACGTTTTATAGTTCCGATGACAACCGTGCCTCTTCCTGGTACTGTGAACGCATTGTCTATGGGCATTAGGAATGGGGACTGCAGGTCCCTAACTATCGCAGGTATGTATGTGTCCATTGTATCTACAAGTTTCCTTATTGAAGGGGCGCCTGGAACATGTATGTTAAATTAACATGTATTTATATTTAAAAACTCGATTTTGTATTGCTTAGGGATCTAACTCGAGATCATGGAACTTAAGGCTAAAGCGTTAAAAGGCTAGAACGCCGAGGTCGTAACTTAATTATAAAAAAAATATAATTAATTCATTGTTTTCACACTATTTCGATTTTTCGATTTCTTTTTATAGTAAATGAGGCAAACGAGTTTACTGCCCACCCAATGGTAGGGGATTATCACCGCCTATGAGCACCACTAGGAAAATTTCAGATCAGTTGTAGAATATATGTCCTTAAAAGGTATTTTACAACTCTTGAAGGTTTCAATATCGTATTAGATCCATTCCAGATATACCATTCGCAGGTGATCCCAATTTTTTAACCGGATTATAAAAGTTGGAAGTTCTCAATTATATTTTTTATGATTGTTACCTTTACAAGTTTATGTTTAATTTGGAACATAAGCTTTTTGTCATGCACAATCACGGTGTGATTGATTCATGATTGTGAATCATGAAAATCGGTTCCCCCAGTCGAAAGTTCTGAGGTATGGTGGAGGACCAAGTACTCAACTATTATATAAATGTTTGTACATTGCATTTGAATGTTGATATGATGGTTGATATGTAAAAAAAATCATAAATCGTCAATTGAGTACAGGCATTTCTCTATTAGTAGTGAGTATATTTTACCTAGCTCCGATTCATCTCCATTTAATGCCTTCAGTGCAGATCCATATACCATGGGCACGTTGTTACCGTCATATCCAAAGTCGGACAGTAATTCCCTCATTTCTATTTCTACCAGTTCTAAAAGCTAAAAATATAAAGTTTTTAATTAGTAGAATTGCGTTGTCGCACGGACAATATTTTGCCTAAAAATAATGCATGCCCTAATTTAGTGAGAAGTAAAGTTTTATTTTATCATCTAAGTTCCTATTTTTAATATTTTTTTTATTAAGGGTTTTGGGCTATTGTCTGGTGCTAACACTTGTAGAACTGCGACCTGCTTAGTCCTCGCCCTTTTACAAAGTTAGATCCGTCAGGGAGAAAACTTGAAGGATATTCTTAAGAGCTATGGTTTTTATCGCCTCAGAATAGTGTATACTATCCAAAGGAGATATTTCATTTATGCATAAGTGGGCTACAACCACATAGGATGTGTAGTTTCCTTTTAGCTTAGCTACAACCACATGTGTATGTAATATTTTGAATCCAATGATTTAATACTAATTGTATTCACACATTTTAACTTGAAAATATAAAGTTACAATAGTTATTTAAAAGAAGAATGCACAAGTTTCTTGCTCAATCTTTGTTGAGAATTGTGAGTGATTAAAAAAATAAAAATGACTATTTAAAAGTGCTTAAATTGAAATCTATAATTCTATATTCAATATTATTCATTCTAATTAAAAATATTTTTTCTTATTTAATAATCAGATACTCACTTCATCATCAACTAAATCAGCTTTATTAATATATATTAAAATGTATTGTATCCCAACTTGTTTTGCTAACAACAGGTGCTCCCTCGTTTGTGGCATAGGTCCATCATTGGCCGCTACAACTAAAATTGCTGCATCCATCTGTGATGCACCAGATATCATGTTACGCACATAGTCCGCATGACCGGGGCAGTCTGTGTGTGCGTAGTGTCGAAGTTTTGTGTTATAACCAACATGAGCAGCATTTATTGTAATACCTGTAAGAAATACATCCTTAAATAATAACAATAAACAGCAATATTAAATACCTGTCCTATCGTGCGAAGTTTTTATAGTGAAATAGCATTTAAAGTTAAATGTAAAAATTACAGCCAATTTACATTTACAATATTATAAAGTTGAGGGTTTTTTGAAAAAAAAGCTTATAGGTGAATTGTTCAACGCTAAATTTGCATAAAATGAAGATTCCATGTTCACAATCCTGTTCATCTTTATAGATTACAGTTACCAATAGTTTTCATTACATATTTATAAATATATTATAATATATACCTCTGGCTTTTTCTTCCGGTGCTTTATCAATTTCATCATACGAAGTAAACTGAGCGAGACCATCATTTGCTAGTACCTTCGTTATGGCAGCAGTCAGAGTTGTTTTCCCATGGTCTACATGACCGATAGTTCCTACATTACAGTGTTTTTTCTCTGCTAACTGGGTTTCTGCTTTGGTAGACAATTTGTTAACCAAAATACCAAAAAATTGTGGTTTATGTAAAGAAACATCTGTATTTCTTAGTGTTCTACGAGTAAAGTTACAATATATTGCACGAATTACGAGCCTTCCATTCATGTTTTACGGAAATATTTATGTATTAAATAATTTATTATTTACTTTTAGGTTATAAATATATTGACTGAGTAAAATTAAAAATAAACTGTTGATTGACTTAACTACATTGACATTAGGAATGATAACTTAACGTTTAAAATTGTTTTACGACTCTGAGTGTTAGCCTTTACGGTCAACAAACAGTATGATTGACCACTTGAAAAAATTTAAGTAAACTGCCGCAATAACAATGTCCAGCAATCGGAGACTGGTGAATGTATTCACGATTTTTTATCATTAGCTAATTTTATGGTTCGGAGCTTGTCTGGTACAATAAGAATATTGTACCAAACAATGATAATGAAACAACAAATTACGATATTTATTATCCTCCCTTAGAGATTCTTTTTCAATATTATTTGGTTAGTTATGAGTGGTTTTTTAGGTCATATTACACACGGGATAGGTTTTGAAATAGATAACGCTTTCAATTTACAACACTGTTTATTTGATTTTGCTAAGTAGTCTGTTAAATTTCTATACATTTGTCATGCTTACAAGAACGGGCAAGATTACATTAATATAATAATTGTGATTACATAATTGTCCATATAGAGCAACTAGGTACATAATAAACTTTGAAAAATGTACATTTATAAATAATATTTCAGATATTTTTAGTAAGTGTTCAATATACAACTTAGTATAGATTAAATAAACCGGTTAAAATGTATACCATCAGAAAAAATATTATAAGTCGGTACCTAATATTACTTTCATTTTCACGATAAGACGAAGTGCAATCTTTACTTAAAGATTAGATATTAAATAAATATTAGTACAACAATAATTAGACAAATAAATGTACGTAAGAACATTGTATACTCAACAAATGTCCAACATTAAATTTACCATTTACTCTTTATTAGCCCTATTCATACACACAAGAATAAAATAAGTGATAGTTGCCATAAAGAAAAAGAAACTAATTGAAATACATTAAATGTTAAATTATATCCAAAGCTTTGGAACTTAAAAATAATAAATAATATAACTGGACAATTATATAATCAATGTTGGATAACAATAATATTTTCTTATTTTAATTTAATTCCTGTTTTTTATTCAGTTTTTCATAAACAATAAAACCATTAAGATTTATAAATTTGATTTACAAACCTACAAGTATCTTCTAGGTTCATAAATGCAGTACATTATGTCAAAATAAATGTTTAATTATATTTTGCAGATAACTTAAATATGCATACATATTGTTTTAAAATTAATAATTTTATATATGATGACGAACAATTAAAAATATGAAAAATTATCACGGGACTATTACATTATCCAATTTTTTTGGATAATCTGTGTTTAATCATATTAAACATCAGTGGTGGAACACCACTTTCCAAATGTAACGGGTTCGATCCCCGCACAGGAAAAGAAACTATATCCATTATGACAGTATTACGAAATGACATAACATGATAATATATTACAGACTTAACCAAAATGAAAACTGAACACTTATTATGACATAAACAATTACTTTACAATTTCAGCGCACAATCTGCAAAGCGTGGACTTAGACTAAAAAACAGATGCACAAAAATGTTCCTCAATATAGCGTAGCTAGAAAAGGTGTATTCCCAGTTGATATACTATTTTAGTATTATAGAATGGATAGGGTAAAAAATCCTGTCTGAGTAATATGACAAATTGGAAATATTCCTTGTGATTACTTCAGAATAGCTTTTTTATATAATTGAAATGGTTAACGGCCCATCTGATAGTAGATGGCTACCTCGTCTATATACATGAACAGCTATTGTAGTTATCTACAATAGCTGTTCATGTATAATATTGTGATGCCTGTGGTAATTCTCATGAATGTAACTAAATATATACAAACATAAAAATACCAGTTTATTTTCTTGCCAGTTCTTCTTTATTGAAGTAGCTAGCCGAACTGGACAGTAGTAAACATAATAAAGTGACGAAGCCAGAGTGAACTATAATATATACATATATATTTACTTTTATTTTGATTCGTTGCCTTAGTTGTTAAGATTTCATACACAATTTTTTTTAATTCAACTTATAACGTACTACTGGCTAGTATTTTTATCTATTCTAGAGACTACTAAATAGTAAATTAACTAAGAATACATCGTGAAAGAATAATCTTTTCGGGTATTTACAGTAAAGAAAACAAGATAGTCTAAATCCACCGGACTTTCTCGTTGTTGATTTATAATACAATTTCCAAACATGACTCTTCATTCAATTTACAGTTTCCCAATAATTCACTTAATGTGTACAACATTCTATAAACAGCATATACACCATTGTTTATGAGCTTCCGATATATGGCTCGGTTAACACGTTGCCTTAGTTCCGATGGTCGCGGGTTCGATTCCTTACACCTCACAAGTATTTGTATCAGTCTGGATGTTTTCTATATATATTGTGTACGTATTTACAAAAAAAAAAAAATCCTCTATGTATTTTTATCAGTTGTCTAGTGCCCGTAACGCAAGCTCTGCTTAGCTTGGGACTAGATTGCGTTGTAGGAATTGCCCTGAAATATATTATTATATATTATATTATAACATGCTTAATAATAGACTGTACTAACTTCAAAATTACATTGTTTGGAATCAACTTTAAACCCTTAAATTTAGAGTTCAGTTTATAATATTTAACTAGTATGCTCAATATTCTGTTTATATAATGTCTATAATTGTCAAAAGTTTAAAACGCCGTCTATTTACAAAACGAGCCGTTTTATTAGAAGTATACAATTAGCTATCCTATCAAATGGGATGTATAGAATTTCACTGCAAGATAGATTCTAATTGTTGTTATATTTAAACATTAAACACGCGTAAAGTGTATTAACTGATAAAATAAATTTTAAGAAATCGACTTTATAAATAAATGCTTTAAAGTCGATTTCGCCAAAACATATTTTTTAGTTGATACAGTTTTTTATTTAGCGTGCAATTGTTACAAAAGCATCTAATGAACACTCAAGTCACGGGGCAAGTACATTGCGACGCAACGCAACGCAAAAATCTATTTTTTTTTTCTATAAAATCGCGATTGAAGTTTCATTTATTATATAGTAGAGAAGATGTTTCGGTTATTACAATTAAATTGTTTCGCTCGCACCGAAATTCACATTATCACTACACAATGGATTTAGGCAGTTTTCACTATTATTTCCGGAATTTATTATGTATAAGACGTTCATATACCATACCATACATAAGCATTAAACACAAGCATAAAATATAGCTTACGCATCCCCGGCCTTTTAGAAGGTACAAATTAGTTTTATAGAAGGCCGAAGGATCGTTTTTTATAGCTGCGCGAATAAGTGCCGTATTATTTAGGGCCCTGTAGGTCCCTATTGACAATGAGTAAAAAAGTGAATATAGTCATGTAGAATTTAAATTAAAAATGGTTGAACTAATTAGCCTTAAAATGTTTATATTTATTTCAATACCAGGTCAACTTTACTGTCTGAGGGGTTGAAACTTTATCAGTCACCGTAAAGTAGTACAGATATGACCCTATAAATTGAAAATATAATATGTCTCTTAATAAGTATGTCATAGAATTAATTTATCAGTACTTCGGCACGACTGCGTCACATTGCGTATTTAGACCAAATGCAACATTTTTACCTCATACTTCGTTTGCTTACTCTACGATACATCGAAACGAGCAATATTTCTTTAGATGTGACTTGTACAACCACATATAAGGGTACTTTCATTGTTTCAACACCCTGTAGTGTAGTGTAAATTCCACATTGGACTTCCATATGAAATGACGAACTGTTCGTAAATCCATGTTCGGGTCCAAAACCTGGAAAAAAGAAAACTATTTAAGACCTTATATATAATAGGGCCCTTATCTTAATCTAAAAATGTTTTATGTCATAAATTCTAATCGATTGATCAAAGGGGACTCTGTTACATCACCGTAAGGTACATGGTGCTGTTCATATCTATAAGTGACGGTTCTCACTAGTTATTTTTAAACTTTCATGTTTTATATACATTATTTATATTATTAACATTATTTTAAGAAAGGTGTTACATATGAATGTGGATGGTTATAAGGGCAGAGGAAGGCCGAAAAAGAGATGAATGGACTGTGTGAAAGATGATATGGTAAGAAAGGAAGTAAATAACGCGATGACTGCGAACATATTACGCCGACCCCAAATAAATGGGATAAGGAAGAAGCAGATGATGATGATGATATTTATATTATTAACCGGGTCTTAACAGGAATAACTTTATGGCAAATGAAGGCGACTGCTCGTGACCACGATTAGTACAAACTAGTTAAAACGTCGAGACAGGTAAATAACATTACCTATACATATAAATAAAATTGGAGTGTCTGTTTGTAATATTGAAATAATCGTTTTTTACTACATGCATATGAATATAAATACTACATACACCAAAATAACATTTTTAACAATTTTTGTCTGTTATTTGTTCCGGCTAATCTCTGAAATGGCTGGACCGATTTTGACGGGACTTTTTTGGCAGGTAGCTGATGTAATAAGGAGTAACTTAGGATACTTTTATTTTAGAAATATAAAGTTAAATTCTACGCGGACGAAGTCGCGGCTGCAGCTAGTTTACCATAAAATTATTCGTCTTAAGACCCGGTTAACAATATAAATGACTGTTGTGACTTTAGATCATGTAAGTTGTTAGCTTTAGTATTGTTTTCTAGTTACATAAAGAATACCTCACCTGATCACAGCATAATAACTCCACTCTCTCCTCGGGCGCATCGTTGCCACTGTCCTCGTTGGCGCTCCCCTTACCGCTGCCAGCACTGGCACCATTTACATCCCCACCACCTACAATCTTCTCCACCACATGCTCTGCCACTTTACGGCACTGGATAAAATCATTTGCGACTAGACGATCCTGGAAACGGATAACAATAATTTATATTTGCCTAATTAAATGGCCTCGCTTACCGTGCGAGGAATCGCACCCGCGACCTTTGGAAGTAAAGTGGTATGCTAAACCACAGAACCACTGAGGCCATTAAATAAAATAACAGATTACTGACAGACAACGATTTTCCTTGCATGAAACTGCTTACATCACTACTTGCTGTCAAAGGTAAAATCATATCTGATTTTCCTACACACTATTGATCTAGGAAGCAGTTTTGGGATATTCCCCCCATTTAAGCATGATATTAGTGTCATCTGTAGAACATTTAAGGAATGTGACAAAGTTGAATAAAAAATGGCATCAAAACTGAAAACCTTAAAAAGAATAAAATAGTTTAAAATTCATTTTACCTTTTTCTGTCTGTCCTGTTTACTCTGGCAGCTTGAGTGTGACAGCAGATAGAATGGCAGCTTGTTTAATTTGGGTGGTGCCATCTCCACAGCAACATCGACAACCCATGATGGTACCGTTTCATTTAGTAAGTTTCCCTCTGTTTCACCACCAGAGTCACCCACCTGTATGTAATCAAATTATATATAATATATTTATATGTTATATAACCAAGTAAAGATACAATTTTTTTGTTTTAATTACTTATTACACTACTTATTCTTTACATACTTATTGTTTTTAGGACTCCTTAACAAACTTACATTTATCAAGACAGATTATGTACAAAGACACTTAATTAGGTATGTACTTGGTAGTAGAGGAGTCAAAGATGACTCCTCTACTTCAGCCGTGTTTCTGTCGAAGTGTGAGATAAGGTACTGGAACTCCAGGATAAGAGGTATAACAGTATTTCAGCGCTCAGAGCTCAGAGCTCAGTATTTCAGAATGGGAATGCACAAATGATATCACAGGTATCACTTGATAAAGTTATTTCCATAGTGATGATCATGTATAAGTGATGATTGCCATACACCATTACACATAATTAAATAACAAAAAAACACATAGTGCACTTTATACATATAAGTGAGTTAAGTAAATGATGATGTAATCTTCTTATAAACAGAAAGATATGTGAACTTTAAATAAATGAGAATAAAAAGGAAAGTTACATAAAGAATTTTCTTTTTATACTAAGTGTGTTTAGTTGATGCCAGTTGCACAGTAACTAGTAAATATTATCACTGTTTTTTAGAGCAATAAGTATATATACAGTAATATACACATGTGACTAAATTCTAAAATTATAATAATTAAAATAAAAATATATTTTCTTTCATAAATTTTCCTCTTTTACTATTAAGGTCATTCTTAATTTGAAAGTAAAATTTTAAATTAAGAACAGAATTAAATAACTAGAGGTGACTGTAATAAGCACAGGTAATAACTAATATAGAATTAATAGAGGTATTTTATTTATTTTTTAATTTAATTGTAAGATATATATAACATACCGATAATCTGTACAATGTCCTTCCACCAACTTCACTGAATATTAATGGTGTGTGTAATGGGACACTGAAGTAATTGTTTCCTATGACTTTCTGACCAGCTTCATTCATTCTGCTCGGGTGATTCCAATGTTCCAACAATGCTTGCAGCAGTAAAGCTCCAAAATTAACTTTTTGGTCATTCTCAGTCGTCAACCCTGCCTCCTTGGCACTAACCCATGCACTCAAACAGTCGGTCTCATCTTGTCCTAGATGTATCGTCAACATTCCAGTCTTTAAATCAACATTAAACCAATTTGGTACGTAAACCATTTTGAAGCGTTTCTTTGCTTCTTCGTCATAATCTACTTCACCTAAATCCTCAACTTTGCAGGCCTTTAATACATCATATAAGGCAACACTATTGGCAGTGTCTTTTGTTAGTATATGCCGTTTATCATTCAGTACTGTGTAGTGCTTGATAGCAGGACCTCCAGGTATGTTATGAATTGGCTGCGTTTGGTATACATTGTTTGTGTTATAACTATTCTGATTATACATATCAGAGCTTAAGGAGTTACGAGGAGGTAACTTCCAACATCGAATGTCTGACTCCGATGTAGACACCCAAACTCCTTGCTGGTCTGCTGTGAAGCAAAGCTTTAGAATGGGAGCAGTCTCTTCACACACAATTACAAAATTATCAGGGTTCCGTAATTCTGTTATAATGACTAATCTATCCCGACCACCAGATATTATATGTGTAAAATTCTCAGTCGCTAACAATGCCCAAACAGCTTCAGAATGAACTCGAATTGTCGAGACACATCGCTGCTGTGATAGAGACCACAACTTTATAGTGCCATCAGAACTACCAGATACACATTGCGACCCATCACGACTCACAACTAATGCTTTAACATTATCAGAATGGCCCTTTAGTTTCATAAGTCGTGAACAGTTACGGGGATCCCAAACCCTGAGGACCTTTTCAGTAGAGCCACTAACAAGAATAGTGCCTGGTGGGTTCATAGCAAGGCTGTATATGGACTCCTTGTTGCCCACTAGACTAGAGGTAGTAACAGTATTATTACTGGCAGTCAATGCAGTTAAAGTATTGACATCCCATAAGAAAATGGCGCGGTCTAACCCCGCGCTGGCGACTTGCTCTTTGTCTTTAGCATACGCTAAAGTACGTACGTAATCCTTGTGTGTTCTAAGAGTGGACATACAAAACCCTTTTGGGGCGTTCCAAACTTTGACAGTAGTGTCAGAGGATGCGCTTATTAAGTTCTTTCCCCCACAGCATAGGACTATATCGTTCACCCAGTCGGTATGGTGTTCCATGCTCTGAATGTACCTATCTTGGACACCATTTCCAGTAGACCACACTCGTATAATACCGTCTCGACCGGCGGAATACAGCCTGCCCTGTACGGGATCCAATTGTAAGGAACTAACGCCATTTTTGTGTCTCCTTTCCTCTTCATCGCGTATTACGAACGACACTTGAGTTTTCTTACGCATGGTCGTGCCCATTTTCCGACATTTTAAACTTTAATTATTAAGTATTATTTATTATTTTGTAAGTAAATCTATCTTGCTGTACACGAAACTCAAATCAGTTCAGTCAGAACGTCATTTGGAATCAGTCAGTTTGACAGAATTGACTGCGATCTTGTCAAATTTGTAAGGATTGACGCACAGACTGCGTTATGGAATGATAAGTATGACTGTATGGTTTTATACCCTTTGCCTTTCTACTTGTGGATAAAATATACTACTCCGTCTACTATAGTCTACAATATGTATAGACAGACCTAAGAGAATATGTACACCAACTTTCAAATACACGGAGCGCTATTTATTGATTGGATTAATTCCTATACTGCGAAAAGATAATTTAAGGATAATCTCAATAAGCTGAGAGCGGAAAAGTCGTATGTGTCAGGTGACATAATAAACTAAAATTAAAAAAAAAAAATGTACTGGCTGTGAGGATAACAAATTCAATAAGACAAAAAAGATGTACAACCAATGTATAAATTTAATAATTTGCTAGTAAATTAGTCGTATAAGTACTTATGATTAGATTTAGATATAAAATAACATATTTGTCTGTTCTTCGTCCTTATTCAAAATAGTATCTAAATAACATAAGAGCGAATATTTAAGAGTTCTAAATACAATTCCATAGTTCCATTACGATATTTACAATGCTAAAAATAACCTATAGTGATATCTATAGATAACAACTAAAACGAATTTCTTTTTTAATTTCCGAAAAGTTTATTTTATTAGAATTTTTGGTCATATTACGTCCTTGGCAAATTCTTTTGTCTTATAGCTGTATAGTGTTGTAGAGACAATGATAAATTATTTATGAACTTGCGGATTTGTATAACCAAAATAGTCAGAGAGCTGACTACTTAAATAAATAAACACAGTATCTATATTTAGTTTGTGACTTTGGTACTTGATAGAGTCACGTTTTGAAGTATAAATGGAGTGAGTATAAAACGGTCAATAACACATTAATTTATACTTCAGGGAGCATTTATTTATTTCGTTTTTCTCGTTCATGTAAAGTTATTATAGATATTTGTTAAATAGGAAGTACCATATATCGTCGGTTAAATAGAAAAATGGCAGTATTCAAAATGTGGAATTGTACATTTTTTACAAGACAAGCATTTAGTGTTTAAATTTATTTAAATTATTTTTTTCTTTAAAGTTTTAAATTTACACTGAAATATTATATATCATTTTAAAGGTATTTAGATAAAGATTAAGACGCCGTGGTTAATTTAATTGACTTATATAAAAGGAGAAAATTCTAGCTTCTAATTTTGAAAAATGTCATTTTTCTATTTATTCGACGATATGTTTTGATTATTGATTCTTTGTTATCTTTTTTCCACTATTCAATATCATTTCACTTAAAAGTTCATTCTCCATAACGTTTTTATACGACGTTGTATATATTTCGACGATATATTTCAAGCCTTCGCTTCTTTCGCTTTCGAAATTGATATTTACAAAGTTCTTGTATATTCCACCATCAGTTATTGTCGCGGTTGCTTCTTTAGTTGGCGATAAATCAACACAAGAAATCCCCGTTATATTCGTTCCATGGGGATATGTAAACGTTTTAGATGCGTGTCGTTTGAAAAATAATAATCCATGTTTTTTCACTTCTGCGTAGGATATGCGTGTTCCAAAGTCGTAACCTTCGTATAGATCGTAACTTGAACATAAATGACACCAAGAAACGATATAAGTCACAGTGATAAGTAGAATTAACGTATGACACATCTTTTGTATTATAAATTAACTTACGAAATGCTGATACAATAAGTAGTCAGTTGACGCTATTTGTGTCAAAGTAGACTAATAATAAACTGATAAATGAGATTAAAAAGTTTGTAAACATAACTTAAGGGTAAATAGTGTTGTTAGTAAGTAATATTCTTTTAATTGTACAAAGTTTTTTAATGGAAAATAATGGAATTCTGGATATGCGTTGTAGCGCGGTGGTTCTTCTCACTACTGTAGCGTTATATGTATAGCTGCACCCGCGTCTTCTTACTTTATTGAATGAATTTAACTTTATTTTTCTAAAATAAAAGTAGCCTAAGTTACTCCTTATTACATCCATATAGAGATTAGCCGGAACAAACAGACAGACAAAAATTGTAAAAAAAGTTACTTTGGTGTATGTACTGTATTTATATTCATATGCATGTAGTAAAAAACGATTATTTCAATATTACAAACAGACACTCCAATTTTATTTATATGTATAGATGTATAGGTTCCTAAAACCACAGATAAGATAATATTACATACTAAAAGCTAACGTTTTTGAGATGTATGTACGGATCTTTAGTGTACCTAATGTGTACCTTAAATTTATAAGTATTCTCTAGCTGTGTTTTCACGACGGTGTCATAAGGGCTTTACGAAGAGATAAGTAATAAAAACAAGGTTCTACATTCTTTGAAGTTTTCTTTATAGAAAATAGTCTAAAATTATCTCCCTTTACATTACAGAGCAGCATAAAAAAGATTGGTGTTTGTCTTACATGACTAAACGCCTTAATAGCTTTTACCAGTGTAGTATTTTTAGATGTTGTTTATAGTTAGCGAGCTCTAAGTTATGTGATGACAATATAAATTAAATATAACCGTATAAATTTATATATAAAAAAATATAAAACATATTCTTCTAGATTTGTAGACGTCATGACTTGATTCTCTATTCAAAATAATAATTCAAAAACTTACTTCGTCGAGAGACCTAAATATAATTTTTATTCATAGGTTTCTTTTTAAAAATTTGTTAGACTATTATAAATTTATAATGATGTATATGATAATTGTACATATATATGTAAAATCATTCCTCTTAACTGATAAGTGTGTCATTGTGTTAATGTCATGTAAATAGTTCGAGAGCTGACAGCAAGTTTAGGATAGGTCGTTTTATATAACACTAATAGTTTATAACACTAATAATTCCAATCCGACTAGCTTCTCCCAATACCGTCCCATATCCATTCTTCCCTTCTTTTCCAAAGTCCTTGAATCAGTTGTCCATAATCAACTATATCATTATCTCTCTGCCAACCACCTATTATGTCCCTTCCAATCTGGTTTCCGTCCTTCTCACAGCACTACTGGGGCACTGCTCAATATTACTGAGGACATTCGACTAGCTATGGATGACACTAAGCTTACTGCTATTATTTTACTGGACTTTACTAGTGCCTTTAATTCTGTTGATTTTGACATTATGCTTGGTGCTCTGCGTGCAGTCAATGTGTCTATTCCTGTTATCGAATGGTTTTCTTCCTATCTTCTCGGTCGTCAGCAGTGCGTGAAGGTAAACGACGCCTCGTCAGTTTGGTCTACCCTCACTGCTGCACGTGCCTCCAGGCACGCCAGCAGTGAGGCTTTCTTCTTTACTCTTTTTGATATTTATTAACAACATATCTCGCACCATTTCTTCTCCCTACCATCTGTATGCTGATGACCTGCTATTATACCGGCACTTTTCACTGTCAGAATTACCACAAGCTATCGGAGCATTAAATAAAGATTTATCTGCCATTCAGTTGTGGGCTAATTCATTTGGCCTCGTTGTTAATCCTGCAAAATCACAAGCCATGATTGTAGGTAGCAGTAGGTTGCGCTCTAGATTAGACTGGACTGAAGTACCACCAATATTCTACAACGGTGTTACTGTGACTTACACCGATAAGTTAACAAATTTAGGTCTCGTAATGGACGGTACGCTGTCTTGGTCGCCTCACATTAATGAAATTAGTAGACGTATGCACTTTTCATTTCATTCGCTCAAACGTCTCCAATACTTTCTCCCATTCAATACCAAAATTATGCTCGCTCAATCTATTCTCCTCCCCGTTCTCGACTATGCCGATGTTTGTTTCATTGATGTGACTGAAGAGCTTCTAAACAAACTCGAACGTCTTCAAAACCTAGCCATCAGATTCATCTTTGGTCTGCGAAAATTCGATCATGTTTCTGTTTTTCGTAATAAATTAAAATGGCTCCCTGTTCGTCTTCGGCGTGATATGCATATCCTTTCCACTCTGTATAATATACTCTATGATCCCAATTCTCCATCGTACCTCCGTTCCCGGTTTCAATTACTCCCTCCACCCACTCGTCCAAAACGAGCATGTCAGGTTCAGTCTAGAATGTTGAAGCTTCCTACATGTAGAACCCATTTTATGGGAAATTCATTCTCTTTTAGAGCTGCTTTTTTGGTGAATAATCTGCCAATTCACATTCAGGAAAGTCCTTCCATCACCACATTTAAAAAAAGATTAAAATCTCATTTTCTCTCCATCAATACATGACGTGGTTTCAAATGTAATCATTATATGTAATAGTTGCTTATGTATTTGTTTAGGTATTTATATATGGTTATTTTATTATATTTATAATATAATATTTATTTATTATATGTATTGTATTTTATATATTTAGTGTGTGTATGCTTTTTTTTTTTGTTTGTTCTTTAAGTATACATTGGAATGTCTATGGTTATGTATTACAACCACTTAAAAACTCAAGCACTATCGTTGCCCGCTAATTACCACCTCTGTCACAGCATTAGGTTGGCTGGAAGAAATCTCTTGCAGAGATAAGCCCGCCCTTGCTCACAATTTAGTATAACTGTCTTTGTCTATTAATGTAATAAGTGCAATAAAAGTATATATATAGTTTCTAGTGTGGACGAAATTGTATGTTACTTGTCGAAGAGGAACGTTAACCTGCAATTTGATTCATACAACATGTTTTGCAAAAATCAATTTTTTTTTTATTACACTTAAATCGTATTATGCAATGGTGGGCGAAAAAAAAAAATTAACAAGATAATGATACTGTATAGATACAATATAAAATATGCCTATATAAAAAACGATTTTACCATAAAAAACACAACAACTATGGCTTATCTGTGTCTATGGTAACATCGTTCGTATTTCACATTTTTTAATACAGTACTAATAATTTCTAACTATGAAAATATAGTCATATAGTCACGTTGTGACACTATATTAAAACGTTACAGCTCTTCTTTTAAAGAT